TGCCCTTTGTGACATAACTGCAACTTAATCTCATTTTTGTGTCAAGGTCTTTCTCATGGTTCCTGACACCCTTTCAGGGCAGTTTAGTCCATGGACTTCAGTTCTTAATCTGCAAGCAGTAGCCTGATGCTGATTTACATTGGGGGGGGGGGGTGCATTTTTTTCTGGATGGGTCCTTTGCGATGGTAGCGTGGGCCAGAATCAGCTGCATCAAATGTGATTTTTGGTTTATAGAGGAGCTGAATCTTATGAGAGTATCAGAGCCAGCCTAGTAAGATTCATTTATTCACTCATGACTTAAATATTAGAAATAGTTTTCATGACTGTGATGGATGTCTGCGAATGTTCTTGCAAGACCCATCCATACATAACTGCATATCCAAAGCAAATATACCGAAACCAATCCCAATGCCAAGGAATCATGAGACAGGGAACATTCCGGAACGTTTTCCAGGACACTCTGTGTCATAGGGACATGGAGCCCAAATGTGACCTTGCAGCAACAGGCCCAAACCCAGAATGATACTTCAGGTCATGCTACAAATGGTCCGTTTTCCAAGAAAAACATATTTGACATCCAAAGATGCCATCATAGCGCCCAAACCCATCTGGCTTTAAGCTGCTACTGTTTGCCCTTCCAGCAAGCTGTTTGTCTGAGGGGGTGGGGGGGCACAGAGGAGGTGGGGGGGGGGGGGGGGGCACAGATGGAAATGTGATTGCTGGACCCACAGGGCCGAGCATCCCAGAGAATTTTTCATGTTCGCTAGAGCAAGTGGAAACAGTTCGTCGTAACTCACTTTTTGATCAGAGAGGCCCCCTGGAAAGTCAAATCAAGAAAACATGTCTCGTAGAGGGGGAAAAAAATGATGTTTGTGGAGAGTGGGGTCCAATGACCAATCCAGGAACCAGTGACTGAGTGTCTTCTGAGGGGGGGTGCGATGACTAAACCAGGAACCTGGCTGACGGATGGTTCCCATTCCCGTTGTTTCCATAACTACACATTCCAGAACCAAGAGCATAAAATGAAGATGCTGTAACAAGGAATCATTCAAAAGAAGAGAATGGAGTTCCATTTCGGAATGTTCTTTTTTTCCTGGTCAACTGTGATTCTTTTATTTTATTTTAAATGAAGGAGAATTTCATAATCAGAGAGGAATCCTCTGTAAAACAAAGGATTAAAATTATCGTATGAGAATAGCGAAAAGGACGCAGCGTAACGCGTTTAACGGCTGCATGCATGTGTCGTTTGCAATTATTGACTCTTTAATAGCGCATGGCATAGATGTGAGTGAAGCACAGAATAAGACAATACAGCTTCCAGCATTAATCTAACAGGAACAAGAAAGCCCCGACAAGAATTTATGAAGTTAGTGTTTGTTCTTGCGTGAAGCAGTGGAATGCAGCATCAGTTATGAGAATGTCAGCACCACTCAGCCAGGGATAGCTAATGTGGGGGCAAGCGAGTGTGTCTATCCAGGTTAAAAGGGGCTGTTAAGCACCTATGCAGCTTTATAGGGCACTGAAACAAGTCGCATGTTTTGATGGGAGTCTGAGTTACGAGGGACTGGGGAAGGGAATTTCCTTTTGACTCAAACAGTCTCTTCAGAAGCCAAGATTGTAGATGAAAATATTTATCTTCTTAAAACGTGTCACTGAAGGGTTTCGTCTTTTCAACGTCAAGCGGAGCGCTCGTGTTTTGTACCAGGCCGGACTCGTCCATCTTGGTCGACGGCTGAGTCCCACTGTGTTTTCTAAAAGGTCCAATGCACCTTAAAACCCTTCTCACCCTGCCTCGGTCGACTGTGGCTGCACTAGCGATCTGTGTCAACCAAGAAGCCAGAAGAAGTTTGGTGACACTATAAAACTACAAAGGTTTCAAATTCTCTCCGTGATACTTTATACGACAGGCAGCTTGTGATTGTCAATAGTATTTGATATTGAGAAATGTGTCCTTATTTTTGCTGTTCATCTGATAGATAATATTGTTGGTGTTGACAATTTCCCCGTGGGGATCAATAAAGTATTGATTATTATTAATAAATGGAGGCATCTTGAAAGTGCTGTAGAACTTCAGTAGGACACATGAGCATATAGCCTATGACCAGAAGAGCACCTACAGCTATGACCTGAAGCAGCCAGCACTGGTGGGAGTTGGGGGTGAGGGGGGTGATTCATCCAAGGCCAGCGCTCCACATGAAAGACAGAGAGTCTTCGCCCAAGCATCAAATGAGCACCACGGTGTCTCACACAGAATGCCCAGGCCCGCCATTTTTGGCACGCATGCGTCGATTTGCACCATTGCATTGAGAAGCGATTTAAGGAACTGCTTCTCAGTCACCTGTGACGTTACGTTCGGTCTCTTTCTGCTTGCGCAGCAGACAGTCCTAAACACGGATGTGAGCTTTAGCGCAAACCGTCCAAACTATTCTGGTCAAGGCTGATGAGAGACTCTTCCCCCAAATTGGCATGGATTCCGCTGGAGTGTATCGAATATAAATGTTCAGTTTAAATTCTACGATGTCTGTTCGAATGTGAACATGTAGCGTAAACAGAAAAAAATACTATCATCCTCATATTCACAGAGGTGTTTTATCAGAGCATTGGTGTCAGTGTTGGGTTCCTTGTCCAGACCCATCCTGGTACCTAAGCACAGCATTATCTGTCTATGTCAAAGCCGCTGTGGTTTTGTAATGATGTCGGCAGGTAATACATGGGAGAATAGGGCTACCCTCCATGGTACTGAATGCTGGCTGCCATTCGCAGGCCTTGCCACAGCTTGTTATGTGAATTTCCCATGAGGCCTGGAGTCTGTAGTCAGATACTGAAGGAATGAACATGGCGTCAGCTGAGTAGCCCAGGTGCTGTTAATTTCCCATGTGTAGGATCCCGTTAGTGGAGATGTATATCTTTGAACTCAGACAATAATATGAATTCATTCCTAACACCCCGTGACAAGCCTATATGACCCTACCTCCCTCCGCCCCGCCAGATCGCGGGTATCGAAAACGGGACTCTGCGCTGTTTTATCGCATCACTGCACTGGTAGTTTACCCATAATGCCTCAGTGGCAGACAGGCAATTGTCTATCACTGTGACATACTGGATTTGTAATTCCTTCTAGCTAAAAAAAATTGTGCTTGAAAAATCCACAGCCAGCACCTGGCCAGACGATACCATCAGCAGAGTAGATTGAGCCGGATGCCTGTGAGCGAACCCTACCTTTTGTCCAAGATAAGTAAGCTGAAAATTTATCATCAAATTTCGAAAGGGGAACATTACACACCATTGGCTAAATGCTAGCCTATTGTACGGAGACCAGTAAAGCAGATCTGACGTGGGTGCTTCAGAGAATTGTCTGGGCCTCTGCGGGATGGGAGTAAATTTGTTGTGAAAGACTCGTCCATTGATGTCTCACCCCCCCTGGGTGCCGGACATAATCTCAAACTGGAAGATGTGGGCTGATGATGATGCTGTGCCCCTCATTTTAAACCCTTTGTCTTATCTGGACTCTCTGGAGAGATAAAGAGACACTATACGTCTCTGGCAATCTGAGTTGTGATTCAGAGGTTGAGATATCCTGCAATACATGATATGTCCTACATGGGGGATAGAGGGTGATTCTGAGATATTTTTAAGTCGCGTATAAGTCATTTAAAGACGCCTTGTAATAATTAATAGCTGCCTACAAATTTAATGATATTAGCATTTATGAGCACAAAAATATCTTTTAATATGTGAATATCACAGTTTTAGGCATATCTAAACAGCTTCAAGATGACTTGAAAATATCTGAAGATATGCTAACAAGGGAAATGTAAATGAATTAGAGACATGACCTTGTCTCGCTGTAAGACCTCTAAACGTCCAGGTTCTAACTTATCCAGAAGCATTACTGCTGGATCCCTTCCTACTCTGTGCTTTTAAAAGCCACGCAGCAAACAAAATATTAGCTTCCAGGCATTTGTTAATCCATTACTTACATTTTATTACTGTTGCACCATGTATACAAGTACATAGAATTTGAATGCATCCATTTTACATTTTTTTTTCCTCAGTGGTTTGCGTTTGGTGTCGGTGACACAGAATGACCGTAACTGTAATGAATGCAGACTTTTTTTTTTTTTTTCTTTTTTTTTTTTAAATTCCATTTCCACTTGATCGATAAACAGGACTACAGGTGCACTCAACCACTGACATGCATTTACTTCGGTCAAAAGAGGAAGAGGTGGCCCGGCCAACAGAACATTCTGGAGACGTCGGGGAGATGTCTGTTTTCGTTTTTAAGCGCGCGGCCGCGCCAGGGGGGCGCGGCATCGACATCCGGGGGAACGTTGCATGCTAGCCAGTAGAAACCTAAATAGCAAGAAATATATATTTATATATATCTATATACCTAGAGGGAAAAAAAGAAAATGAAAAGACCACAGAATGAGCAGGTATGGAGGAGGTCGGTGGGATCAGTGTTTACCAGCCGCGCCGGACCCCGGGATTCTGGCTCACTGACCTACCAGCTGTCAGCGCAGAGAGAAAAAAGGATGGATCCTCTCCCGTGATTTACCGCGGGAAGATCACTGGTACCGCAGTGGGGGTGTTAATCACCTAACACCGCAGACGGCAAAGGTCTATAGGCGTCTATAAGCAGTCCGGCCGGGATGCAGGCTGGGAGACACTGAGACACCGACAGACATGTGACAGATATGTAAGCTAGGAAGAGAGCGAGGAATCGGGGGGCCGGGGGGGGGCGACGGGGAGGAGGACACCGCTGGGGGAGGATGGGCCTCGAGCTGCCGGAGTCCTGCCGGGGCGGGCGGAAAGTGACAGCTCCAGCCTGCGCAGGACAGGCGGGGAGGGGGGGGGGGGGGGGGGGGGGGGGGGGGGGAGGGGGGGGTGTGTTTGGGCAGGGGGGGAGGGCGGCAGGGATGATGGAGAATCATGACGCAATCGATTCGGCGCTGGCCCTACGCGCAAAGCAAAAGAGCAGAGCACCCCAGGAGGAGGGTGTGCGTTTGGGGAGGGGGGCAGGGAAGAGGAGAAGGGAAAGAGGGGGAGGGGGGGGGCGGGGAAGGTCCAGGCGGGGTCTGGAAGAGTGCATGTCCAGCTGGTAAAGAGATTCTACCCTTCCGGTTCACTTTAAGACATCTGCAGCGTGGATAGCCCAGGAAAGCACAATGGTTTATGGTCCTGGGGCAACCTGGTGGAGGGATGCATGGCGTGGTGGAACTCCATGGCTGCGGAAGATGAGGATGTAAGGGCAGGCGGGCAGGTAAAACAGACCTGTATCAAAGTCCAAATACTACAGCAGAAAAATAATATTAATAATAATAATAATGTGGATGGGCAATTCAATTTGATTTTATTCTTTCGTTTTTTTTGTCGTTGATTCTGTTTTAAAAGAAGCTGTCCATTAATCCTGAACTGCTACGGTTTGATCCTTGTTGGGAACGGGAGCTTCTGTGGCGTTAGGCTCTTTGGGCGGAGCCGCGCTCTCGGGGCCGGCCGTTGTAGAGCTAGGGGCCGCCTCTTTCGCCGGGGCTTCCTTGGCGGGGGCAGGGGCCGCCGCTTCCGTGGGCTTGGGCTCTGGGGGGGCAGCGGCCGCCTCGGTTTTAGCTGCCGGCGGCGCAGGGGCCTCAGTCTTTTTGGCGTCGGCCTCGTTCTTGCTGTCCGGCTTGCTCTCGGCCACCGGGGGCGCCGGGGCCTCGGCCTTCACCTCCGGAGCGGCCTCCTTAGCTGGGGCGGCAGCGGCAGGCTCCTCGCTCTTGGCTGCCTCGGCCTTGGGCTTGGCGTTGGCCGTTCCTTTCTCAGGCTCCTTGGCCTCCTTGGCGGCTGCACCCTTGTCGTCCTCCTTAGCCGCCGTCTGCTCGCCGGCTGGCTGCGCCTCCTTCTCAGTCTTTTCGCCGGACGCCGCCTCCGCTCCCCCGGCCGCTGCCGGTGCCTCCTCCTTGCTCTCCTTCTGGGCCTCGCCCTCCTCGGCCGAAGCCCCCTCCGCCTTGGCGTCCTTGTCCTTAGCCTTCTCGTCGTTCACATTGTAGCCCTTCTTCTTTTTGCTTAGCTTGCCTCCCATCTTTCCGGTCTCTGAGAAGGCAGGGAAACAAAGCGCGTTAGCTACGTGTGCTGACAAGTCCGAGGTGCTGAGGAAATGGCAAAAACACCAGCGTTAGTATTTCTGTAAAGGAAGAGTGGCATTTCCGCCCAAAATCCGAGTGATTTCATTTTTTGGAAAGCTGGCCGTAATTTCAGACTGAATCGATTAAAAGGTGACTAACAGGTATACTGTAGCATATTGTTTTTGCAGATTTCAGCCAAAGCAGGCTTTTGCAAAAGGGATAAGTTGCTAAAGTGCATCCAGTAATGGCGACTGCAAAGAGATACGTCCCTGGGTTACTCAGTTTTAGCGGAAAACAAAATCCCACGTAGAAATTGTGTAAAGGCTACGGATCAGATCACACAGTCCTGTAAACTGTGTAAGCAGTACAGGACGTTGAGGCTAGAGCTGCCAATGGCTTTCAAACGGGCATTGCTGTTACTATGGCAACGCCAATGCAAAATGGCCGATTCATGTCAAAAAAACCTGCAGGATGTGAATTGGATTTTTCCAGGCCGATCATACGTGTGTAAGTCCAATTCACAATGACAGAATGGGGCCCTAGCTTAGATCTGAAACACCTTGGGCACGTGGGAAGACATTTTGAAAAGGCACGGCCGCAAAGCTGCATGTGTGGGTGAGTGCCAGCGCGGCCAATCTGTCTCCAGGAAACCGGCGGGCATTTGGCACCTGGGTGGTGACGGCTTTATTGAACCCGTGGGGTTCGCCGGAAGAGGGCACACAATCGCGATGGATCGTTCTGGGTTTGCGATGGCACTACTTTAGGATTCGGAACAATGACCAAGTAGGGGGTCCGTCTGCGTGTGTCGCGGCACGGAACACTAGGGGTGGCAGACTGCCAGCTAGGGGGGGGCTCAGGAGTCAGTGCCACCGAAGACGCAGGTACCAGGATGATAATGAGCGACCCCCTCCCTGGTTGGGCTCAGTCTGCTCTTTGCCCCTGGGGTGTACTGAGAAGCTAAGCTAAGCTAAAAGCTAAACTAAGGGAGGCTGAGATACACCTGCAAGCACAGAGCCTCCTCATCACACCCCAGCACGTCACTCCAACGTGCAACAGCTCCGCGCTATAGTGTATAGTGCGGCGTTGCCACGGCGACGTCCTCGGCTGAAATGCAACTGGTGAAGTACTGGGTCTGAGATGCATGCAGATCCCCGGCCAGACTGACACAGGAAATGAGGAGGAGGATGTTTGACCGTGATCACATCTTTCCTGGCCCCATGTGCTGAGCAGGCCTCATGGTCCACTGACACCACAATATCCTCTGTGTGGCCAGGGCAGCGGGCCGAAGGCTTGGCAAGGCGCCAAGGGCCCGGGCTCATGAGGGTAAGAAGGCAGGGAGCTAAATCTGTCTGGATACAAGCGGGCACCCCACACACAAAATGGGCCAGACTGAAACAGCTATAACAATTTGCCAGGAGAAAACTGTGTTATCCTCTGGTGTGTTACCCGGCACATCGAGGGTCTTTTATCTTGTGCGAAAATGCTGGATCCCTACTGCTTCACAATCTCCACGACAAATATGTCTACCTGTCCAGTGGACGTGAGATTTTATTCAGGCATTCAGCTGGCAACTAATTTTAAGAATTAAGAGCATGCAAATGTTTGTTTCTCTGCTCTAGAAGGGTATCACGTTTTCAGTTATGGAGGTCCATGGCTTAAAGTTCTTATTTTGGCCTTACTGGGGTGCCATAGTCACCGAGGGCAACCGCATTCACGGAGCTCACATTGCAAACACACGCTTACAAGACCACAGGTCGAAGACTCCCCTTACAGAAGGAAGCTGAAGGATGGCTTCCTGGACTTGCTGACTCAGAGCCTCCATTGCAGCCCGACAATGCAGGCTAACCACACCAAAGTAAGCCAACGGTCGCTGACCATGTGAAATGGATCAATGCTGCAGCTTTTAAGCTCCGGGGTAGACAGGGTGAGCGGTGGGAAAAGACTCATCGTGGATAACGACATGCAGCAGGAGGAACGGATGCAGGCCGGAAGGTCACTATGAGGTGCAGATACGACACGAACCAGACACTTCCACTTAGAACAAAGTCTGTTCCGCTTTTGAGACAATTAGAACAATGTGCGGGCATCTGAATAGATATTCTCTAATTAAACAGACAATACAATACAGTGTCTGCTGTTTTAATTATATGTACTGAGAGACAGGAAGTGGGGAAGGTGCATTTGTTGGATGAATTGAAGTTGGATCCTTCACCATGTAGGGACATTGATCTCTGTGCACCAGACAAACATGGAAGGCCAGTGTGAGGAGGTCACAGAGTAGACAGAGCGGACAGAGAGGAGGGTTAGGGTTAGGGTTAGGGTTAGGGTACCAGGAAGTAGACCAGGAAAACAAGGCCTGAGTGACACTGACAGAGACGTCAATCGGACAGAGGCTAGTTTTGCTACACATCAAATATGTCACAAAGAGGAAAGTAAATTGCAACAACACATGTAGACCGAAAGCAGTCTTAAAGAAGTTGATGCTAATTAAAGGAATGTCGTAAATGACCGGGTTATGCAGGGCCGCTAACAAACCTGATGCTGACTAAACATCCAGCCAATGTGCTGAACTAACATGGAATGCCTTCGGGTTCAAAGGCGAGATCTATTAGCTATTGATCGCAACAAACTGGCTAATTGATCTGCCATTCGGCGCAGAACAATGAGCCCGTATTGATCATTCGCAGCGTGTTTAGTAAATTTTTCATTCGCATTCTACGAGTAAAGTAACACGCAATATATTACTCTGATGTGTAGCGAGTCGCTGAAATACGGGAGCTGCATTGTGTTGGCAGATTACGACGATGGATTTAAATAGACATTATTCTCTCTGCAAGAACCACATATTTCACTTTTCCAGCTTCCTTGAGTCAAACAGGAACAGAAATATTATTTGTCTTGGTAAACAATCACTAAGGCAAATAATTAACCTACGATGAGATAAGTGCAAGAGCAGATTGAGCATTTCCTGATGGGTTTTCAGGTCGGTAAGATGACAAGTAAATGGTACAATGACTAAGACACCAAGAGGGACAATAGTGTCTTTGTCTGCCGAGTTAATGTGTATAAAGTACAGTCTGACCCAATGGCGGTTTGCATATTTCAACATTGATTAACAGTATTGTGCAAGTTACTGAAAGTTAGTAATTAGTTACAGTTACTAGTTACTTCATTCAAAAGTAATTCAATTATCTTACCAATTACTGTATATAAAAGTAATTAGTTCTTAGGGAAAGTAATTTTGCATTACTTCAGTTCCCTTATTAATGCATATACTCCCAGCACACATATGTTGCTAGATTAAGTTCAAAACATTGTTCAATTATTGCACTCCATTTAGGCCTATTAACAATATTTAAATAATAACATATGCGAACTTGTGTTTCGGCAAGCACATTTTTTTTTTCAATCACTTTGCTTTAATCATTTCAGTATAACTGCCAGACCTATTAGTAGTTCTATCATGTTGCCAATATTTTAAATAACTTCTAATCAGTTAAATTGTTTGTTTGGTATCTGGTTTTAAACAGCATGACTACATGCAGGATATACAGAACAAATCTACTGTATAGTATAAAAATATATGTAGTATAACCCTATTGTGGGTTATATAGCCTAATAATAACAGTAAGATACATGTTGCAGTCATCTCATTAACATCGTATTACTGTTGCAGTACATCGTGCAGACACTGGGGGAATGTCAAATCAACATTTGGTATTGTTGTATCTGTGACGTTGTGCTAGTGGCTAGATACCGATAGAGGCATTGTGCCTATACATGTGTGCTGTCTGGGTAGTTATATCATTTTAGTGTTGCTGCTGTGACATGGCGAGTGTCAAATTTTATCTGTCACTGTACCTAATATCACCCGTTCATTGCACCACCGTAACGTCGAGTGACATTAGATCATAAGCAGGAAAAGTCTGCTTTTGCCCATTAATAATTTCACGCGAGACAAAAGTAACGAGTAATGAGCCTATTTAAATTTCGGTATTTTAATTGTGGTATTTAATTTGAAAAGGTAATTAGCTACATTACTTTTACCCGCCAAATATAGTGGGATGATAATAATGTGTTACTTTGTAACACGTTTCTACCAATACTATTGGTCAGTGGCCTGCCTCCATCTTGAAATTTCAAGCCCCCTCTATCTTACGCTGATCTAGAACAGATTCCCCTTACGAGCAGAGATTCCTCTGCCCTATTTTACCCCATTTATAAACTATCACAAATATTTCAGAAACACTTCAACAGAAAAATCAGACGCAAACACAATCTCGCAGATAACATCGGACAGTTCCGAGAAGTTTTAAATGGGGATTAAGCGTGAGTTAATGAAGCTATGACATTCTGTACACCTATTCAACACCCAGCCCCAGACTATAACAAAAAAACTGCTTATCAAAAAATTTAACTGTCAGCAAAATACCTGCAAATGAAAGCTGGGGGGGAAAAAAACATAATTTAAACCTTAATAGGAACGTCTCTCTTTTATTGTGCAGACGGCTGCAAAAAGTTATAGAAATGAGGAGATCCTAACTGTGTCCAATAATCTGTTTTTATGTCACTGGAACCCTCACACATGGTGGCATCATGCCGGATGTGGCTCTGGGAACCATAAACGATGCCGACCAGGAAATCTGGACTTCCCGTTCCTACATTCGGCACGGAGGGTTCCAGGCCCAAGGGATGAAAGCTAGACGAACGGGCCCAGAAAGCGCATAGGGGAGAATGTCAACCGTCGCAGGCAAAACGCGGCGGCATCCAAGGCCGCGAGTCAGAATGCATGGAACAGACCTCTGAACATTACATCTGGCAAATGGCTCACGCGAGCACAAGCTCAGACATCGGGAGGATAGAATGTTAACAGATAACATCTCGGGCACCCGAAGAATCCCGCCATGCACGCCGAACGCACAGAACCAGACACAGAGCTGCACTCTGTAAAAACTGGATAAAGGGAGC